CAAGGATGGGTTAGGAAAAGTAAGGTTTGATTTGGTTAGGTTAGGTTAGGTTAGGTTAGATTAGGTAAGGTTAGGTTAGATTAGGTAAGGTTAGGTTAGGTTAGGTTAGGTTAGGTAAAGTTAGGTTAGGTATTGTTAGGATAGGTCTCAGAACTTTCTGGCAGGAATTTTCATATACAACAGACAGAGAAACAGGAAGACAGCAAGATAAAGACAGATGAGGGAGAGAAAGAGAGAGAGAGAGAGAGAGAGAGAGAGAGAGAGAGAGAGAGAGAGAGAGAGAGAGAGAGAGAGAGAGAGAGAGAGAGAGAGAGAGAGAGAGAGAGAGAGAGAGAGAGAGAGAGAGCAGAACAGACAGGGAGAAAGAGAATCAAAGAGAAGCCAGATTTTATTTTATAAAATCTGACGCGGTTAGAGTTAGCCGTAAGTCAAGTCACATAGTTGGTGGACCCACCCAGACAGGTCACGTGGTTGGTGGGTCTGCCCAAGATGTAGGCAAGATGCCCACTGGGAGAGTGTCAGCACCATACCCATGTGAAAGTACCTTCCCTTCCCCTTCCTCCCTCACTAGGGCAGGCATCTCAGGTGTTGCTCCCTATTCCCTATCACAGGAGCCACATATTCCACTCTCCTACACACCTGCCTCACATATCAGTGTTCCTAGATCAATAGACACATATGTAAGCTGCCACAGGAAAATACTTCCTAACACTGGGGGTTTAATTATACTTACTGAGGATCCTTATGTATATTTTTCAAATCAATGTATGTTTTTTCTGACAATATTTACGAAGGTTTGTGTATTTCTACAAAGTATAATTTGGTTGCGTTTTGTTTGCCAATTATTTTTGTTTAAGCTTGTATATTATGAGGTTTATATAGGATTCATGTGTTTACAAAAGCCTAGTGTGTTTACGTATATATTTATGCCTAGTATGTATACTATATTTACAAGTATTCATTGTGTATACCTGTATTCATCGTGTATACAAATGTATAGCATTTCATGTATAAGATGAAGACGGTATATAGATTGTTTTCGACAAATCCATTCAACATGTTAATATTGAGGTGATCTATCTGTTAACCTCGATGGGTTAGGTGGGTTGCTGAGGTTCGTACGTCTCTGGTTAGGCCAAACCGTTGCATTTTGTACGGAGAGGCAAGGAAGGGGGAAAGGAATTATCAGAAGCGCCAAGCCATTATGACTCTATAGCGCTGGGAAGGGGATGGGACGGGGGGAAAAAGGAATGGTATCCAACTACATAGACGGTCGGGGATTGAACGCCGACCTGCATGCAGCGAGACACGTCGTTCTACCGTCCAGCCCAAGTGGTTGGGTACCATTCCTTCCTCCTTGTTCTCAAGAGCAAGGACGGAACTTATAAGCAGTGGCAGCCAAGTTTGGCCCCAAGTTATTAAAAGTTGTCGGGACAAAGTTTAAAGTCAAGACAAAGTTTTAAGTCGAGAAGGTCAGGTTAGGCCGCCCAGCTGGAAGGTAAGAGCTACATATTTCTATGTCAAAACCTGCAATTTTGGTGATTATAGTGCTATGATGACTCTCTGAAGCTCTTGAACTCTCAAATGTCCTCTTTATGCACTTACAACGTAGGTCCTCCGCCGGCCCAGGATTCATTTACTTCTCGATTTGCGAAACCTGTACATCTTTCCACGACCATGGCGGGTTAATGCGTATTTATAAAACAGTTTACGAGCCTGGCAACATCACAACCCAAGGGAGCCGGTCGGCCGAGCGGACAGCACGCTGGACTTGTGATCCTGTGGTCCGGGGTTCGATCCCAGGCGCCGGCGAGAAACAATGGGCAGAGTTTCTTTCACCCTATGTCCCTGTTACCTAGCAGTAAATAGGTACCTGGGAGTTAGTCAGCTGTCACGGGCTGCTTCCTGGGGGTGGAGGCCTGGTCGAGGACCGGGCCGCGGGGACACTAAAGCCCCGAAATCATCTCAAGATAACCTCAAGATAAGGTGATGGTTGTAATAATAATATTATTATTATTACAGACGTTTAGTGTTGTTGTTGTTATAGATTCAGCTACTGAGAACAAAAGGTTTTAAGTAGCACGGGCTATGGTGAGCCCGTATTGGACTTACCTGGCACAGGAACGGTGCTGTGTCGCCTCATAGTGCTTCGAAGCGTCTTTCATAGACTCACGCTAAACTGCCATTGATTGATTGATTGATTGATGAAGATTAAGCCATCCAAGATTTGGCACGGGCATGAATAACCCGCAACAAAACTTCCATGATCGAAGAAAGATGGACGAACCGAGCCTAAGGACAGGAATTCTGAGACCCGGATGTAGTTAAGCCTTGCTCGTTCAGTCCGGCAACGATGGTTCCTGGGCTTGAATTGCACACAAGGAGAGGGAATGATTATGTATTTATATTTTCCATAGGCCTACCGCCCATAATATAGTAACAATTAGCCTCTCCGTGGTTTCTCTATGAGTGAGGTACTATATATGGTCATTTTACAGACCTGTTATATACGTGTTATAGGAGTCTCTGCGAGCACCACCACTACCACTACCACCACCACCACCACCACCAACCACCACCACCACCAACCACCAGCCGTAAACAACCCTAACGTAGCAAACAATGCGTGTCAGATGGTGATTGGTCACGGTAGTTGGCGGTAATATACCGGGGCTCCGCCAATACATAATCCCTATCATTTGGCGCTTAGTTTCGCCTCATTTATGATTGGCTTTACGGAGCACAACGCACCTAAAGGTAGCACTTACTACGGGTGTTATTACATACAGGAGAGAGGGAGAGAGGGAGAGAGAGAGAGAGAGAGAGAGAGAGAGAGAGAGAGAGAGAGAGAGAGAGAGAGAGAGAGAGAGAGAGAGAGAGAGAGAGAGATATCCAAGGGCGGCCAGTTCCCTTTTTCATCACCTTAGTGTGGCAATTCAGAGAGGAACTGCTTGGTTCCTGTCCAACATTCCACCATCTCATAAACATCTGCCTCTCCTCATAAACACCTGCCTCCCCCTCATAAACACCTGTCTCCCCCTCATAAACACCTGCCTCTCATTAACACCTGTCTCCCCTCATAAACACCTGCCTCCCCCTCATAAACACCTGCCTTCCCTCATAAACACCTGCCTTCATCTCATAAACAACTGCCTCCCCCTCATAAACACCTGTCTCCCCCTCATAAACACCTGTCTCTCCTCATAAACACCTGTCTCTCCTCATAAACACCTGCCTCCCCTCATAAACACCTGCCTCCCCCTCATAAACACCTGCCTCCCCCTCATAAACACCTGCCTCCCCCTCATAAACACCTGCCTCCCCCTCATAAACACCCCTGCCTCTCCTCATAAACACCTGCCTCCCCCTCATAAACACCCCTGCCTCTCCTCATAAACACCCCTGCCTCTCCTCATAAACACCTGCCTCCCCCTCATAAACACCCCTGCCTCTCCTCATAAACACCTGCCTCCCCCTCATAAACACCCCTGCCTCTCCTCATAAACACCTGCCTCCCCCTCATAAACACCTGCCTCCCCCTCATAAACACCCCTGCCTCTCCTCATAAACACCTGCCTCCCCCTCATAAACACCCCTGCCTCTCCTCATAAACACCTGCCTCCCCCTCATAAACACCTGCCTCCCCCTCATAAACACCTGCCTCCCCCTCATAAACACCTGCCTCCCCCTCATAAACACCTGCCTCCCCCTCATAAACACCTGCCTCCCCCTCATAAACACCCCTGCCTCTCCTCATAAACACCTGCCTCCCCCTCATAAACACCTGCCTCCCCCTCATAAACACCTGCCTCCCCCTCATAAACACCTGCCTCCCCCTCATAAACACCCCTGCCTCTCCTCATAAACACCTGCCTCCCCCTCATAAACACCCCTGCCTCTCCTCATAAACACCTGCCTCCCCCTCATAAACACCTGCCTCCCCCTCATAAACACCTGCCTCCCCTTGAGCTCCAGCAGGCGGAAGTAGTCTCGTCTCTATATAAAGCTCCCAAGGGTAAAATTTTGATGCTTAATTAAACTTTTATTACTGCTTTTTCCGACACTCATAAATATAGGGGAGTGAGTCGAGCCTTGTAGTGGAGGAGGGAGAAGTAGCAGGAGGGTTGTTAAGGTCTAACAACCTCTGGAGGGTTGTTAAGGTCTATCAACCTCTGGAGGGTTATGTTCTATAAACCTCTGGAGGGTTATTAAGGTCTATCAACCTCTGGAGGGTTATGTTCTATAAACCTCTGGAGGGTTATTAAGGTCTATCAACCTCTGGAGGGTTATGTTCTATAAACCTCTGGAGGGTTATTAAGGTCTATCAACCTCTGGAGGGTTATTAAGGTCTATCAACCTCTGGAGGGTTATGGTTTATCAACCTCTGGAGGGTTATTAAGGTCTATCAACCTATGGAGGGTTATTAAGGCCTGTCAACCTCTTTAGGGTTGTTAAGGTCTATCAACCTCTGGAGGGGTATTAAGGTCTATCAACCTCTGGAGGGTTATTAAGGCCTATCTACCTCTGGGGGTTATGGTCTATCAACCTCTGGAGGGTTATTAAGGTCTATCAACCTCTGGAGGGTTATTAAGGTCTATCAACCTCTGGAGGGTTATTAAGGTCTATCAACCTCTGAAGGGTTATGAAGGTCTAACAACCTCTGGAGGGTTATTAAGGCCTATCTACCTCTGGAGGGTTATGGTCTATCAACCTCTGGAGGGTTATTAAGGTCTATCAACCTCTGGAGGGTTATTAAGGTCTATCAACCTCTGGAGGGTTATTAAGATGTATCAACCTCTGGAGGGTTATTAAGGTCTATCAACCTCTGGAGGGTTATTAAGGTCTATCAACCTCTGGAGGGTTGTTAAGGTCTATCAACCTCTGGAGGGTTATTAAGGTCTATCAACCTCTGGAGGGTTATGACCTATCAACCTCTGGAGGGTTATTAAGGTCTATCAACCTCTGGAGGGTTGTTAAGATCTATCAACCTCTGGAGAGTTATGACAGCCTCCACAATAGCTTCAGACCGATCATCAGAATACTTCAGTTCTGAACGTATTCCAGAACGGAAGTAAATAAACTATGTATACACATACACCGAGAAGAATACACCTCTGGGTGTATAGATCGAGGGGTTGTTAGCGAGGTTGGCAGTCCCCTCACGTATCCTAGCAACCAGACCTACCACCAAGTTGCCAAAACGGTTGAGAACTTGAAGTTGTTGTGTTGATTTAAGGGGTGACTAAACTTGAAGTTAGAAATCCGGATTTCTCTGGCGTTCGTGTAGTGGCTCTGACTTTGGTACTTTATCCTGAAGAAGAATCTTCTGCTTCTCTATTTCTTAGCTGCTCCATCTCCCTCTCTGGGTCTTAGCTTCCCTCCCCTCTTCCCCATAAGCCTAGCTGCAGCCCCATAAACTAAGCCCTAGGAGCTGCTGGGTCGTCATATCTTAGCGCTGTGAAGGCTGTTTGCTAAGACCTCCATCTTGTACCTACCTCCTCCTACCCTGCCTTATAGAAAATGGGAAAATTTTGCCTTTCCAATATATAAACAAAAACTATTTCATAACTTTTTTTCACAATCAGATATAAATTTTTTTTAAATATTAATCAGACATAAGCATTCAGATATTTATTTGTACGAATTTTGTTTCATATACGTCCTCGACTGAAAGTAGTAACAATTAACAAAAATCAGATAATTTGACATAACTTCGTTTTTTTTTCCTCCTCCACAGAAAACGGGGTGTTGAGCTTCGAGAATCCTAACTACACGCTGGGCACCGCCAACGACCCCCGCTTGGACGACGCTTTGAACAGCAACCACAATAACGGCTCGTCCACTCATGACGGGCCTTTGGACGGTGGCCTGGCCGCCCTAGGTACGTGTACCAACGCCATGGCCACTCACATATACACACACATACATATACAACACACATACACGTGTATTGAGAACACATACAGCACACTCACGCATGTATTAAAATGTTGATTTGGTAACTAAATAATATTGTACAAAAACATAGGTAAAAAAATGTAGTATGCAGTTGGGAATAACGGGGCTCTCTCTCTGCTGGACAGCCGGCTGTGGTAAGGCTTCTCTTAATAATGTCCAAGACGGGAAAAACGATGTTTGGAACAAGTAATGTCTAGAAGAAATTGGGAGAATAACAATGTGACAAAAATATTAGGAAGAATATAATAAAAACAGTTATACGAATCCAAATAATTCTGCCAGTCGATCAGCTGACAAATGTAAACACTCTCAGCTGATTACCGCAGACGATCAGCTGACAAATGTAAACACACTCAGCTGATTACCGCAGACGATCAGCTGACAAATGTAAACACACTCAGCTGATTACCGCAGACGATCAGCTGACAAATGTAAACACTCTCAGCTGATTACCGCAGACGATCAGCTGACAAATGTAAACACACTCAGCTGATTACCGCAGACGATCAGCTGACAAATGTAAACACACTCAGCTGATTACCGCAGACGATCAGCTGACAAATGTAAACACACTCAGCTGATTACCGCAGACGATCAGCTGACAAATGTAAACACACTCAGCTGTTTACCGCAGACGATCAGCTGACAAATGTAAACACACTCAGCTGTTTACCGCAGACGATCAGCTGACAAATGTAAACACAATCAGCTGTTTACCACAGACGATCAGCTGACAAATGTAAACACTCTCAGCTGATTGCCGCCATATTTTTCCCCAGTACATGTCTCAGACAGGAGCTACACGAGAGGCAGTAAAAAGGGACGAAAGAAAATGAATAAAGAACTAAGGACAGGATAGTCGATGATGTTTAAAGGCTGATAAATGCTAATTATGAAAATGTTACCCATCTGTTTTAAGCAGGAAGAGGAGTGCTAACTAAGGAAGGTAGAGAGCATTGATATGCACTGTCAGAATGCAAGACATGATTATAGAATTGGTGAACAAATCCACAAGGGCCGTGATGAGGATTCGAACCTACGTCTGGGATGATCCCAGACGCGCCTTACTCGGCTACGTCGCGACATGAGGTTCGAACGAACTCAGAATGAAAGAGCATAATGTGATAATAAGAGAAAGAGAACACGTAAGGCAAATGTAAATTAAAACTAAATAAATTGAAAATATGGAGCGTCTAAGAGGAGATTACAACTAGTCCGGTTACGCCCTTAAAACAACACTCTGTCCCTGACTTTTTATTCTAGCTGGTTGTGTTTACGTCACTCAGCTGGTTGTGTTTACGTTAGTCAGCTGGTTGTGTTTACGTTAGTCAGCTGGTTGTGTTTACGTTAGTCAGCTGGTTGTGTTTACGTTAGTCAGCTGGTTGTGTTTACGTCAGTCAGCTGGTTGTGTTTACGTTAGTCAGCTGGTTGTGTTTACGTCAGTCAGCTGGTTGTGTTTACGTTAGTCAGCTGGTTGTGTTTACGTTAGTCAGCTGGTTGTGTTTACGCTAGTCAGCTGGTTGTGTTTACGCTAGTCAGCTGGTTGTGTTTACGTCACTCAGCTGGTTGTGTTTACGTCAGTCAGCTGGTTGTGTTTACGTCAGTCAGCTGGTTGTGTTTACGTTAGTCAGCTGGTTGTGTTTACGTCACTCAGCTGGTTGTGTTTACGTTAGTCAGCTGGTTGTGTTTACGTTAGTCAGCTGGTTGTGTTTACGTCAGTCAGCTGGTTGTGTTTACGTTAGTCAGCTGGTTGTGTTTACGTCACTCAGCTGGTTGTGTTTACGCCACTCAGCTGGTTGTGTTTACGTTAGTCAGCTGGTTGTGTTTACGTTAGTCAGCTGGTTGTGTTTACGTTAGTCAGCTGGTTGTGTTTACGTCAGTCAGCTGGTTGTGTTTACGTCAGTCAGCTGGTTGTGTTTACGTTAGTCAGCTGGTTGTGTTTACGTCAGTCAGCTGGTTGTGCTTACGTTAGTCAGCTGGTTGTGTTTACGTCAGTCAGCTGGTTGTGTTTACGCCACTCAGCTGGTTGTGTTTACGTTAGTCAGCTGGTTGTGTTTACGTTAGTCAGCTGGTTGTGTTTACGTCAGTCATCTGATTGTGTTTACGTTAATCAGCTGATTGTGTTTACGTTAATCAGCTGGTTGTGTTTACGTTAATCAGCTGATTGTGTTTACGTTAATCAGCTGATTGTGTTTACGTTAATCAGCTGGTTGTGTTTACGTTAATCAGCTGGTTGTGTTTACGTTAATCAGCTGATTGTGTTTACGTTAATCAGCTGAGAGAACTTTCATCAGTCAACGATCCGGCTTGCTCCGGCAAGCAAGCAAGCTTGCTTGCTTGCGATATAGAGAAAAAAAAAGTCTACAAACCAATTATAAGAAAAATCCTCACTCGGGTAAATTGAAGGTACCAGGCACCTACATGCAGGTAGGTCATTACACACCTGGCAGTAACTGGTTCAGGGGAGAGTACCAGTCACATGAACAGGCACAATTACCTGTTCACCTCCCGGACCAGCCCCAGACCCTATCCTCCCCCCCATACTAACGGAACGAGTTTTTGAGATTCGTATCGTCCTGTATATTTAGCGAAAGTGGTGAAAGAGCCATGCCAAGATACTCCCTGCTTCTTGGAGTTCTCGTCTTAGTTAACTCACATCTTGAGCTGTGAATAACGATAGTAATGAGAGATTTGGGTAATGGAGAGGAATAGGAGGATACACCTGAGAGGTGTGGAGAGTGGTGGAGAGGTGTGGAGAGATGTGGATAGCCTGAGTGAGAGGTGTGCGGAGAGGTGTGGAACAAGAGAGACATGAGCAGGTCCTCTTCCAGGAGGCCGCCATCATCTGGACCTGGTGCCCTTGTACTCCTGGACTGTGAAGGAGAAGGAGGAGGAGCGGGTATCGAGGCTAGGCCAGCAGGAGGGGGGGGGGGGCAAAGGAATGTGGTAGGCGCTTGAGATCCTTCTAAGGATGTGTGCTTTGCTTACTGGGAGTTAGGAGATTGTGATGGCGTTTAGATTCAGGGAGGGTAAGATCTGGGGTAAATACTGGTTATCAAACAGGGCTGTTGAAGTGTGTAACAAATTACCGGGTAAGGTAATAGACGTGGGATCGATGGAGTGTTTCAAGCGTAGGTTAGACACATACAAATGAGTTTAGGTGAAGGTTACATCAATATAACCCATCATAATGAGACAAACATTGCAGCCAAATTATCGTGTAACAAAGATGAAGATGAATTAGAGCTAGGTATCCCCATCTCTGCTGTCAAAACTGTATTGGTCCAAACACTCAGATCTGATAGGAAAGAAATTACTAACTCCCAACGACCTGAAAGCACCAGTATAAAAAGCTATGATTTGTTCAGATCTGAAACCTATATTTATGGGCAGCACAAAACGTGGACCAGACTGTGCGACACAGTGGTTGCCAGGATCAGGTTGGGTTACCGTTACCTGTGGCAGGTGGCTACAGGTGACGGGTCTCCCAATCCTGAGCACTCCAGTTGCAAACTCTGTGAGCAGGAACTGGGGCATGATCTCCCACACTACATCACCGAACACCCAGTTATTAGACCATTAGACCATTTATTATTAGACCATTATTCACTTTATTTATTTATTAGACCATTCAGACCCGTTGGCATGAGGTACCTGGAGCTTTGCAATTACTTTATTCACTCTCTTGTTTCTCCTTAACCTGCAACGTTTGTACCCGAGCAACCCACCTAACCTCTGCAAGAGGCCGACCCATAGACAACGTCAATTATGCGGGGCTTAAATTGATACTATTGCGTATAATTTTGATCGGTTTTGTTGCGTAAAATAAGGGATATATATTAAGTGAGAGGACAGGTTGTTGGCTTGCGGTCTACCCGCCAGGATCGACCAGCAAGGGGTTGACGTAATGGAGCACTTGGGTGGTAAGTCAACCCATTCGCAATAACGAGCGTTCAGGTACGACCACTCGCAATAACGAGCGTTCAGGTACGACCACTCGCAATAACGAGCGTTCAGGTACGACCACTCGCAATAACGAGCGTTCAGGTACGACCACTCGCAATAACGAGCGTTCAGGTACGACCACTCGCAACAACGACCTTTCAACTACGACCACTCGCAATAACGACCATTCTACCCCAACCACTCACAACCATCCCTATCCACAGAAGCTATTTAAGCAAAATGAATTACCCAACACCCAGCTGTATTTTAGGGTGTGGGGGGGGGGGGAGGGGGGGAAAAGATTAATGGGGATAGGCGAGGAAGATTGAGGGAAGATGGGGGGAGGTGGATAGATGGGGGTGGGGGGGGGAGTTGATGGGTGGGTGGGGGGGTTGCCGGCAATTTGCCTTGGCTGGTATGGTCGAAATAAGGAGATGTGCGCTTCTGGAGGTTGGGGTTCGAATCCCGCCCTTGGCAAGGTCATTCATCGTGAGAGAGTTTGGGGGGGGGGGGGGTTGGGGGGCAGCTTCTGGCTACTTTTTATTGTGTTGGGGGAGTTGGGGGGTAGGGGGAGGAGGAGTTAGGGGGAGAGGGAAGTGGAGGGGGGGGGGTCGGGTTATGAAAATGCTCTGCCATATATGGGGTGCGTGTGGGAGTGTAGTTGTAATGGTATATTTGTGGTGTGGTGGGGTGGTTGTGTGGTGGTGTGGTGGGGTGGTTGTGTGGTGGTGTGGTTGTGTGGTGGTGTGGTGGTGTGTGTGGGGGGGTGTGTGTACTCACCTAGTTGTACTCACCTAGTTGTGTTTGCGGGGGTTGAGCTCTGGCTCTTTGGTCCCGCCTCTCAACCGTCAATCAACAGGTGTGTGTGTGGGGGGGGGGGGGGGGTGATGGTCGTTGAGTGATGTGGTGAATTGGAATGATATTGTTTGCGTGGTAGTGTGGTAGTGGTACTTACCTATCAGTGTGTGTGAGGGAGTGAGGTCTAGATCCTCATGCCCCGCTCTACCGGCCTTGTTGTACCTGTTGGGCTGTAATTGAACTATTCTGTAATTCGTGGTCGAATCTGGCCTTAAAGTTGTGGCTGGAGGTGGCTTCCAGAACTTCTGATTTTCAGTGCATGTTACTTGTTAACTGCTTTGTTAGAGGTGGCATAGTGAGACTAAGATAAATGTAACTAGGTGGTATGGTATAGTGGTGGTATGGTGTGGTATTAACTGTATACTGGTCTACCAGTGTGCATGCGAGCCTCTTAGGTTGCATAACTGTTAGATTTGGTATTGGCTTGGGCCCCTAGTGTTGATTTATGGTATAGATTGTACCTAGCTTTGGTTATTTTGGAGATGATTTCGGGGCTTAGCATCCCAGCGGCCCGTTCCTCGAGCAGGTCTCATTTTTGTTACCACTCAGGAAGCAGCCCGTAGCAGCTGTCTAACTCCCAGGTACCTATTTACTGCTAGGTGGGGACGGCTGGTACTTGGTATGGTACCTTTGTGAGAGCTGGGGCCTGGTTTTACCTGAAGTTTAGGTCGAGGGTTGTTTTGCTGTGCAAGCTCGGCAGGGGGCCCCGGCTTGTGTGGTGATAACATGCACGATAAGGGCCTCAGGTCCACAACAACCTTACTGATCCGGTTTGTTGATGGTGGTCAGGTCTGGTATTGGAGGGGGGGGGGGGGTAGGTACTGTGATTGGAGATGCGGTGATATCCTGTGGTACTCAGGTCTCCCTCGCTCTACCTATAGGTTTACAGTAGTTACAGTAAACTATAAGTTTACAGGATACTATTTATTTTCACTATAGCCTCGTGTTCCAGCAAATTAAAGTCGCCACCACTACCCCCACGCCACCACACACAACCACCATACTTACTACCACATTAGCCAACACCAGAACCACAACTGCCACCACAACTACCACCACAACTACCACCACAACTGCCACCACAACTACCACCACAACTGCCATACCCTTCCCGGCTCCAGCAAGAGCTTCCACCTCTCCTCATCGAAGCGGAACGTATTAATTAACCCGTTCCGAAAACCTTACGAACACTCTGAATTAATTTCGACAATCTTTCAATGCTTTATTAAAGTGTAAGCTGTCGCCGAGTCATCCAAGCGATGCGTTTTTGTTATTCTGCAAAGACTGGATCTATTAGTTTTTTTTTGTGTGTGGTCAGGGAGCATTTTGTGTTTCCCAGGCGGTAGAAAACTGGCTGCGGGTTTAATATAGCCAACAGAAAACGTGTTGCTATGTTTAGAAGTCACAAAAGATATTAATTATTGCGATAGAAAATGTTGTGCTGTGCCACAAAGAGCGATAGAAAATGTTAGTGTTGTGCCACAAAGAGCGATAGAAAATGCATTTGAGAAAATTATGTTAGAAAATGGATTTTGAGTTATAGGAAACAATAGAGGATCTGCTAAACTAATTGAACGATTTAAATACAACAAAAGCAGCCATAACGGTATGGAATTCGACAGTATTGAAAAAAAAATAAACTTAGAGATGGAAGAAAATAAGTCGAGGGACTTTTGCGAGTAGGAGGGACTTAATAAAAAGATAACAATAGCATGTTTTAATAAATAACACAACATTCCTTCGATGCCCCAGTAAATGTGGTTGCCACAGGGGCTCTGTGAGTCCTCCCAGCGACCCTGGGGCCTCTGTGAGCCCTCCCAGCTACCCTGGGGGCTCTGTGAGCCCTCCCAGCTACCCTGGGTGCTCTGTGAGTCCTCCCAGGTACCCTGGGGCCTCTGTGAGCCCTCCCAGCTACCCTGGGGCCTCTGTGAGCCCTCCCAGCTACCCTGGGGGCTCTGTGAGCCCTCCCAGCTACCCTGGGGGCTCTGTGAGCCCTCCCAGCTACCCTGGGGGCTCTGTGAGTCCTCCCAGGTACCCTGAGGGGCTCAACTCTACTACTCCTGGGTAATTATCAACTCACCTGAGCCAATTCAATCTTATCACTTAATCGCTAATTGCGATCCCGATTCGCCGTCTCGTGCCGCGATGTAATTGAATTTTGTGAGTGATTGCGCTCTGTGTATTATTATACCGAACAGAGGACGGGGGAAAAGTATATTTATGTATATATATGTTGAATGAGACGGCACTCACACCCACTCCGGCTATGTTAGGCGGCGTCGCGAATTGCCTAGGTGAGGCAGTTAAGAGGTTCCACCTTAAACGAGGTTCGGGGACAATAGTCATCTGTTCTCGAGCGTAACACAACCGCTATTGTCATTGTCGTGGTTTATCATAATTGGTCATTATTACCGCGGGAATCGTAGTGACCTTGCTGTTTAGAACGTGGTTTTTAGGTCTTCTTTGTTATCTTTCTGCGGAATTTGCGATATGTTTTTGTTATTTTTTTTGGTTTGTGGATGTTGTATAAGTAGCGTCATGTTGAGGAATTCTTTGTCTGTCTGTCTCGAAGCACGGAGACCCGGGTACCGCCGGGTATCCCGCCTAGTATGTTATATGTGACCTCTTTTCTACAATACGTATGCGGGATTTATATCGGTGCAAAGACCTATATGATTATTGTTATACTTCGCATATTTTCGTTCAGTGACTTCATATGGAAAGTTTTTTTTTGGTATATGGGGTGTTTAAGGTATATTTTTAATACATGGGTATGCTGGTAGACCAATCGTTGAGAGGTATATTCTAGCGCTGTGTTGGGAAGTACTTAAAGGTGGTTCACGTTTGAACGATTATGTTATGTATGTATTTGGATGCTTGGGCCTCATTGGTAATATTTATCAAATGTGTGTGTGTGTGTGTGTGTGTGTGTGTGTGTGTGTGTGTGTGTGTGTGTGTGTGTGTGTGTGTGTGTGTGTGTGTGTGTGTGTGCGTGCGTGCGTGTTCTTCCTGTGTTGAGTTGTCGATCGACATGTCGTTTCCTCCCGAAATCCCAACCGGATCCGGAGTTAGTCGACCTGTTGGTCGCGACCTTAAAACACTTAAATTAACATACCTATAACTGACCTTTTCAGTAGCAGTAATAATCATTTCGTGTTCCGTGCGTGTTGCAGACTCGTTGTACACGGAACTGGACCACGTATGCAACCTGACCAGGTCGTCCAGCATCCGAAATCGTCGGCATTATGCCCATCTGGACATTGGTTCGATGGGGGTCGACGTAGCCACCGGCCCGGTCACCAATTTGGACCACGCCGACCACCAGAACAACAGGTAAGGTCACCACCACCAGCCAGGTCACTACGACCACAGGTAAGGTCACCCACAGGTAGACCTACAGACAGGTGTACAAGAGAGAGAACAGCAAATTGCTAGAAGGCTAAAGGGGTCTCAAGGGTCTAAAGGGGCTTAGATATATCAGGTGAATTGATTAGATGAACTCTTGTATATGTTATCTTGAGAGGTTATCTTGAGATGATTTCGGGGCTTTAGTGTCCCCGCGGCCCGGTCCTCGACCAGGCCTCCACCCCCAGGAAGCAGCCCGTGACAGCTGACTAACTCCCAGGTACCTATTTACTGCTAGGTAACAGGGGCATTCAGGGTGAAAGAAACTTTGCCCATTTGTTTTCTGCCTCGTGCGGGAATCGAACCCGCGCCACAGAATTACGAGTCCTGCGCGCTATCCACCAGGCTACGAGGCCCCCCCTGTGTGTGTATATGTGTCTTAACTAGACTCGTTGAGTGCATACGTGTCTCATAATTACACCTGTTGAATGCACACACGTGTCTCTTAATTACACCTGTTGAGTGCACACGTGTTTCATCAAATTACCACAATAAAACCGCTTTTCGAGGACTGCAATCACGTCACCGGCCGGATGTTGCATATTAAGAGCTGCCTGCACCAGCTGCTGTGTTAATTACAGGTGAATGTTAAGCCAGGTGTTCTTCTTCGTCTCGCTCCCCCTTACCGATAATGAAGGGGGTGTTGCAGGGGGGGGGGTAGATTGAAAGAGGGGTTGCAGGAGTGAGGGTGGAACAGGGGGCGTTGGGGGGGTGGTAGGCATAATGACGGATGGTTGAGGCGTGTCAGGCAACACCTCAATCGTGGTGATGACAGGTGCAGAGATTGTGGTTGTGGTGGTTGTGGTAGGGTGGGGGGGGGGGGTCCCTTGAATCCTAGCTGGGTGGTGAGCACTTGCTAGTGAGAGAGAGGTTCGTGGCCCTGTGTGGCTTAGGTCTGTGATGCGCCTTCATATCCTGCTGTTCTATGGGGCTTAATGTTTGGTTTGAGAGGAGAGAATGACCCCTGGGACCTCCGGGATGTGGTAGTGGTGTGGTGGTGGTGGTGTGGTAGTGGTGTGGTGGTGGTGGTGTGGTAGTGGAGGTTCAGGGGACACAAGTGGCATTTGAGGGCTCTGAGTGGAAGGTGACTCAACTATTTTCTTACCATTGATTCTGTTTCATTTAGTACCCCGTTCTTCCCCTTTCTCTCTCTCTCTCTCTCTCTCTCTCTCTCTCTCTCTCTCTCTCTCTCTCTCTCTCTCTCTCTCTCTCTCTCTCTCTCTCTCTCTCTCTCTCTCTCTCCCTCTCTCACACTCTCTCTCTCTCTCTCTCTCTCTCTCTCTCTCTCTCTCTCTCTCTCTCTCACTCTCTCTCTCTCTCTCTCTCTCTCTCTCCTCTCTCTCTCTCTCTCTCTCTCCCCCCTCTCTCTCTCTCTCTCTCTCTCTCTCTCTCTCTCTCTCTCTCTCTCTCTCTCTCTCTCTCTCTCTCTCTCTCTCTCTCTCTCTCTCTCTCTCTCTCTCTCTCTCTCTCTCTCTCTCTCTCTCTCTCTCTCTCCTCTCTCTCTCTCTCTCTCTCTCTCTCTCTCTCTCTCTCTCTCTCTCTCTCTCTCTCTCTCTCTCTCTCTCTCTCTCTCTCTCTCTCTCTCGCTCTCTCTCTCTCTCTCTCTCTCACTCTCTCTCTCTCTCTCTCTCTCTCTCTCTCTCTCTCTCTCTCTCTCTCTCTCTCTCTCTCTCTCTCTCTCTCTCTCTCTCACGGCAACAACTTAGAGTGGCACCGTGCCAGCACGGGTTCAGGTGCCTTGTTAAGCAAGAGCCACAAGTAGGGAGCAGCGATTGTTTCAGCCGCCAAACAGCGCCTAACTGCCTCGTTAGTGGGCCACAAACATGTGCAACAACACGGTGATTGCAAGCTCTGTGCTTGCAACAACGCCTTTGTTTAGCATAGGTGTGCCCAATATGTTTCTACTTGATTTTGTTTTCATGTAAAAAAATGACTATACTATTAATAATATTAATTATAATTTACAATCACTGGAAGGACGTAAAGCACTTAAGTACTAACTCCTTGACACACTTAAGGGTGTCCTGGAGCACTTATAATAACAATTTGCAATTGCAATGCTCTGATTTAAAGCGTTTTCAAAACATTGAACCCAAGCCATGTCAGGAGTAGATATGCCCTGTTTCTTGGTGTATATACCCAGTTTGGTCCACTAGCTGGTCCACCCAGCAACCGGTCCACCCACCCCCCGGTCCACCCAGCAACCGGTCCACCTACCCCCCGGTCCACCCAGCAACCGGTCCACCCACCCCCCGGTCCACCCAGCAACCGGTCCACCTACCCCCCGGTCCACCTACCCCCCGGTCCACCCAGCAACCGGTCCACCCACCCCCCGGTCCACCTACCCCCCGGTCCACCCAGCAACCGGTCTACTACCGGACCCGAACTTGTCCCTTGCCTGATCCTACAGGAAGTAGCCACCACCGTACACGGGCCTACCTAATAACACGCACACACACAGAAGCATTTATTGACCAGTCTTCAAGACGGACTGATCATAAGTAGGTTTTTATTCGCAGTTTTTTGGGTTCATGAGAATTATATGTGTGACCTTCGTAGCTTAGCGGTGAACGGGACTGGCTGCTGGTCGAGGCAGGCGGGGTGGTGACTGAGACTGGTCGAAGATTGGATGTATTATGTAAATCAGAATTGGTGACTGCCTCAGATTCCTAAATTGGGATTAGGCAGTTGTAACGGTAATGTCTTAATTGGTCGGATTACCAACTTACAAAACGCATATTGTACATTTAATACATACATCTGTGTGTGTGTATATATATATATATATATATATATATATATATATATATATATATATATATATATATATATATATATATATATATATATATATATATATATATATATATATTATATATATATGAAAACATGCGCTGCCCGGTGACCCAAATTGGCTCCAATTACCTGTAAGAACAATTCGTATACCAATTACGAGTGATGGTAATTAGGGTCATTATGAATGTATGAGTTTGTGTTGACTCATCAAGACTGGTGACGAGGGCAACAGTTGCCATGGCGACGAGGCAATTGTGGCAAGTTTATGTATACGCGTTCGAGGGGTCTCTGGGGGGTCAGTATGTGTGTGTGTGTGTGTGCGGAACAACGCTGTTATTGACCTCCCAGGGTCGTTAGCGAGGTTCGAAACATGGTTTGTGACCGCGACTCACTCCTGAGTATTGACCGCGAGACTCACCGGTGCGTATTGACCGCGAGACTCGCCCGTTAGTATTGACCGCGAGACTCACCCGAAAGTATTGACCGCGACGGACGTGACAAGACCGTTACGTCATATTCTTCAAATCGTTCCATGTTGTTGTTGTTGTTGTTGTTTAAGATTCGCTACTGGGAACAAAAAAGTTCCAAGTAGCACGGGCTATGGTGAGCCCGGAGTGGATTGCCAGTGGTAGAAAGGTCATATTAAGTCCTCGTTTATTGTCACCTGTCAATTAGGTGAGGTGATAAATTGTACCAAGCAATATTCTCTCTCTCTCTCTCTCTCTCTCTCTCTCTCTCTCTCTCTCTCTCTCTCTCTCTCTCTCTCTCTCTCTCTCTCTCTCTCTCTCTCTCTCTCTCTCTCTCTCTCTCTCTCTCTCAAAAGGATTTAGGATTGGACAGAGGAAAGGAATGGTGCTCAGCCACTTGGACGCTCGGGGATTGAACGCGGACCTGAAGAGGGGAAGATGTCTTGGCGCGATGTGAGACAATTTTTGGATTCAGAGTAAGAGAGAAAGATGATAATGATGATAAGGGGATAAGGTTAAGGGGGAAATAATAGTTAATGGAAGGAGAACATTTCTCCTCCACCCCCCCCCATATAATCACCTTGGAAAAACCTTTAATATTAATCAGGGTAATTACAAGATTATTGGCAGTTGCACGTCACTTAATCACCCAGTTACGATAATTAATCATTCGACCCTAACTAGTGAGTAATTCAATCGCATTTATCACCTGGTTCCTAATTAACTAATTATTCCCTCTACTTGATGATATAGAAGTGATCTGTGAGCGTTGGAAGGTTGTCATTAGTGCTCATTTAGCCTCCCAACCATTTACCTGTCTACTTACGAAACCTGTACATCTTTTTTTTTAATTCAAAAGCGGCTGTCTGTAATTATTAAAAGAGTTTATGAATATGAAAACGCCGCGAGACCGCTGCTCCAGATATAAGACAACCTCTTAGTGCTTCGGATGTCGTAAACTGTTTAGTAAATGCAGATTGAGCTGCCATGATTGGCGAAAGATGAACAGGTTTCGCCAGTGGAGGTGGATGCTGGGTTGGTTTTAAGACGAGTGTGATGTAGTGGAGGATACTCTCTCTCTCTCTCTCTCTCTCTCTCTCTCTCTCTCTCTCTCTCTCTCTCTCTCTCTCTCTCTCTCTCTCTCTCTCTCTCTCTCTCTCTCTCTCTCTCTCTCTCTCCATCTCTCTCTCTCTCTCTCTCTCTCTCTCTCATTTAAGAAAGTACTCTCATTTAAGAAAGTACTCTCATTTAAGAAAGTACTCTCATTTAAGAAAGTACTCTCATCTAAGAAAGTACTCTCATTTAAGAAAGTACTCTTATCTAAGAAAGTACTCTCATCTAAGAAAGTACTCTTAGTTAACCTCAGATGTGTAAGAGCACTGAGAGAGGCAGTTATTAAGTGTTTACAAGTGCGTGAGTCACTTAAGTGTGAAAGTACATGTCAAAATATTATTCCCCGGAAGATAGCGAGAAGAGGCACTTAAAACACTTAATAAAGAGGAAGGAAGCTGCAGATGCTACAATTGAAGCGGGGAGCTAAGTAGCACTTCCACATGAATGCACTTAGGAGTTAGCTGTTAGTGAATAACATGATAAGATATCATAAGATATATCCAGATGGTTGGGGTCTCCCAACCATCCATCGGGATGGATGGGATATCCATCTATCCAGATGATATATATGGATAGATGGA